CTTCTGTATATTGCATTGTGTGCCCTGCCAAAGTCTAGTCTCCTTCTGTCACCAAATGTCTGACCCCCTTTACACTTTCCTGGCTCCACTCACTCCATCTTTTTGGTAAACACCATAGTGTTGCCTGTGTCAGTGAGTTTTTGTAAAATGATTCTTTTGTAGGAATTTGGTGCTCTGTGGGAGTGTGAGGTTGGCTCTTGTGGGTGGGCCTGGAGCATGCTCTCAGGCAGACGTGGTCTCAGGATCTGTTGTGCTCACACCAGCTGGCATCTGCCCCTTCCCCTTGATAATCCAGGAGCCTTCATTTTCTCTGCCTCTCTCAAAAAAGAAGCCATTTTTGGTTTTGTTTTGGGGTTGTAAAATTTCTGATGACTGTTAAATTCTTCTGTAAAGGGCCTGAGTCCAGAAAGGGTAAAAGTAAAGAGGATAGAGAGGGGGTGGATCTAGAGTCTGGAATCCTGGGCAGGGAGACATCGCTGAGAAACAGGGTCATGCAGAGTTTAAAGGTTTCTGAGAAAGCCACCAGTACACTCATCAGCAGCCTCTGTGGTCCTCCTGAGCCAGATGAGTGGGTGGGGGTGGGAAGGATTACTCTAATAAACACAAGCTCATGCAGAAGGGGAAATCTCTGGGATGCTGAGAGGATGGAACAGGAGGAGGGCAGGAGAAAAGGTGGAGGAAGGAGCAAGGTGTTGTGTGAGATTCCTAGGGCTGACGTAGCACAGTACCACAAACAGTATAGCTTAAAGCCACAGAAACGTATGGTCCCATAGTTCAGGGTGTCAAGCATGAAAAGGTCGGCAGAGCCATGGTCTCCCTGAAGGGGCTAAGGGGTTCCTCCCTTGCTGGTAGCCAGGTCCTTGTGCTGCTGGCAATCCTTGGAGTTCCTTTGCTGGTAGATTCATAATTCTGATCTCTTTCCTTTTGCATTTTACAAGGAGAAACCAGGCTGCACCCCCTCACAATGTGCTTGGAAACCTCCTCAGCTAAAGACTCAAGTTCATCACTTACAAGCTCTTCTTTCCACCCAACAGTGAAACAAAACTCAGTGTCTTCTCCCCACTTTTTATCAAGTATCACCTTTCTTCCAGTGTCCAATACCAAGGTCCTCACTTTGATCTGAGATCTCACCTTTAAAATTCAAATTCCCAGCAATAGTTTCATCAAGGAAAATCTAAACCTTCTCTATAAGCTCTCTCAGCATTCTCCAAGCTTCTGTGGATTAGCCTCAATTCCACAACCACTTCCACATTTTAAGTATTTTTTTTTAACAGCAGCACCTCATGTTCTCATACAAACATCAAGCCTATGAAGCAAATACTCCATTTTAAAGGCTATGAAAGTGAGTTGCAGAGAGGTTAAGGTATCCACATGTGGTATCCTGAAAATTACCCCCTTCAAGAGAGCCGTCCTAATCCGCAGACCCTGTGAATATTACCTATTAAAAATGTGATGGAATTAATTATTTTGAGATGAGGAGATTGTCTATCTGAGTGGGTACTACATGTAATCACAAAGGTCCCTAGAAGATGGAGGCAAGAAGATCAAAGGAGGGGAAGGCAATGTGATGATGGCAGCAGAGTTTAGAGTGATGTGGGCACAAGCTACGGATTCTAGAAGTTTCTAGAAGCTAGAAGAGGCAAGAGATGGATTGTATTTAGGAGCCTTCAGAAAGATCAGCCCTGATGATACCATCATTTTATCTCCACAAGACTAATTTCAGGCTCCTGACCTCCAGAACTCTAAGAGAATTCATTAGTATTGCCTCAGACCACTATGTTTCTGTAATTTGTTATGGCAGTAATAGGCAACTGGTATACCAAGCTCATTTATTGATTTGTGGAAGAGTAAGCACAGTGGGAGGAATCTGTTATTTTCATCTCCTGTTATTATTTTTGCAATGTTGTAATAAGTTTGAGCTTTGAATTTATCTGAATCCTAGCAGCTGAAAAAGTCCTGAGCTCCACAAGGCAGACTCTGTTAAAAGTTAAAGAATTTTTTTTTTAAATAACCCACAATCTGCCCTAACTGGTTTGGCTCAGTGGATAGAGCGTCGGCCTGCAGACTGAAGGGTCCCAGGTTCGATTCTGGTCAAGAGCATGTACCTTGGTTGCGGGCACATCCCCAGTAGGGGGCATGCAGGAGGCAGCTGATCGATGTTTCTCTCTCATGGATGTTTCTAACTCTCTATCCCTCTCCTTTCCTGTCTGTAAAAAAATCAATAAAATATATTTAAAAAAATAAATAACCCACAACCTTTGAAAAAAATAATATACATTCACATTGTCATGTGTGTATGATGTGAAGAATAAAAGGGGAAAAAGAATAAATGGAAAATTTAACAAAGGAAGCTGTGGCTTTCTCCCCATTCATCTTTTTGCGTCTGACTATGTGGAAGGAGCAGCATCCTGGGAGCGGGGAGAGCACCTTCATGGGGTTGCAGGTGGGGACCCACAGCAGAGAGACAGGTGGCTCACAGCAGAGCTGGGTGTGGAAAGGAGCTCCTAATGATGAAGAGCGTGGCCAGGTGAACAGTGCAGGAGAAATACGAGGCAACACTCCTATCACAAGTCTTCTAGAGGGAGATCACTCTTAAGTTGGGGTTCAGGGATGGAACTGTCGTGTTTCATATGCTCCTCTGTGGACAATGACCTCAAGCTTGTTACCATTCAAGACCTGTATCCTGCACCCTGTTGATTATTTTTTTAAAAATTGATTTTAGAGTGGGAAGAAGGGAGAAGGGAGAGAGAGAGAGAGAGAGAGAGAGAGAGAGAGAGAGACATCGATGTGAGAGATACACATTGTTAAGTTGTTTATCAGGATGCTTAGTGTAAAGAATTCAGTAGTGGTTTTATTATACAAGTTAAATTTTTTATTGTGAAATATTTTTAACTTATTCGATGATAAAGAGAATAGTGCAAGGAACTTCCATGTACCTACACCAGGCTTCAACAATTACCAATAGATGCCAATTTTATTAAAAATCATGATGCAATAAATAGCTTCGTGCATCATTTTTTTCTATACTTTTGTCAGTGTAGTTTAGGAAGAATCCTAAAATTGGTGATTGACAATCAAAGGGAAAATGCATATGTACTTTTGCAGCATAGTCCTGACTTCTCCTCTGTAGAGTTTGGACTATTTTTCCATTCTCACCAGCCATGCAGGAGAGGTCCTGCGTTTGCCATGCCTTTACCTACAGATTAGGCCAGAAAATGTTTGGAGTTGCCAAACCTGGAGGTGAGAAATAGTATCTCACCTCAGAAACAGAGGTGTAGTTTTAATTTATTTTACTTTTTGTGCTTTGATTTATTTTCTCTATTATGAGTGATGTTAATGTATTTTGATATATTCAAGACACATTTTAATTTCTTTTTCTCTGGGTCTTTATTCCTATATCTTGGTCCATTTTCTATTGAGTTGCTGGGATTTTGTTTCTGTTCTTCTTAAATTTCTTTGTATAACAGGAATATTCACCCCTTTGATGTAAGTTGGAAAATGTTTCTTTCCCTGGTGTGACATGTGTAGTTTAATTTGTCTATGATGTTTTTTAGTCCACATTATGTGTGAGATTTTCATGTACTCATACTTATTAATCCTTTTCCATTCTTTTTCAAATCTTAGAAATATTTTCCCTACTCTTATTTTACAAAAATTTAGCCATGTTTTTTCTATTATTTATATGGATTAGTTTTTTACATTTAAACTTCTAATTTACTTGGAATTGGAATGGCATGAGGCAGTATATGTAGTTGTATCTTTTTTTATATGTTTATACAGTTACCCCAAAGTTGCTTTATTAGTCCACCTTCCCCCCATTGATGTGAGATGCTGCCTTACTGAATCTAACTATAACATAATGGAATGGAAGTGAATATAAATGAATAGAGTATGATTAATTTGGTCTATTTCCGAATTTTCTTTCTTCTTTCATTTCACAGTTCTCTCTATCCATGCCCCCACATCATACTGCTTTAATCATAGACACTATGATGCTTGACTCCTGGAAGAGCTAGTCCTCCATTCTTATTGTTTTTCTTAATAGTTCCAGATAACTTTCTTTTTTATCCATCCAAATGAACCTTATAATCCATTATTTGAAGTTTATAATGTGCTACTTAACTTTATAACCCACTGTTTGTCACCTGCATGAAAAAAAGATTCTGACCAAAAAAATTAACTTTAGTTATATAAAATCATGTAGAGAAGTATCTATTTTTCTTCATCAAAAGACTTTATAATTCATTATTTATCACTTATAGGGAAAAAAGGTTATGACCAAAAAATTAAAATTTATACTTATATAAAATCATGTTAGAGAAGTAGGTTTGAATTCCATCAAACCATGAGTTTGATGGAATTCAACTCCCGAACCATGAGTCAGGTTTGAATTCCATCAAATGTCTTTTCTTCATCTAGGTAATTTTCTTCACCTTTTAATGGGGTGTGTTGTAACAACTAATTTCCCATATTGAGTCATCCTAGTATTTGTGAAATAAATCATACAATCATGGTGTATTACTTTTTTAGTGTCAAATAATTTATTTAGAATTTTTGTATTAATATTTCCAAATGAGACACATCTGTAGCTTTACTTTTTGGTGAACTTTGGTAGCTTTTGGGATCATTATAACACTTGATTCATATGTACTTTTGAATGATTGAAAGATTTCCCTCTTTATATGATCAGGAATAGCTCACATCACACTGAGATGATCAGATCTTTAACGTTTTATGTGAGTTACCCTGTGAAAGCATCTGAACCTTGTACTCTTTTGTGAAGAAAGTTTGACCTATTATTTATTCCATAGTAATTGAACTGTCATCGCTCTCTTCTTCCTGAGATCAGCATGAGTAATAGACCATTACAAATTTTCATGGAAAAAAAGAACAAAGAATAGAGGGTTGGGAATGGCCCCCACTTAGCTAAGTTGACCTTTCTCCTTTCTCCTCCATAAGGTCTTGTGGAAGCCTAACGCCCAGAACCTCTTGATACAAACATGACTGGCCTTCAGGACAACACTCTGAGGATTGTTCTGGTGGGGAAAACTGGAAGTGGGAAATATGCAACAGCAAACACCATCTTTGGGGGAAAAGTATTTGAATCTAAAATTATTTTTTCTTCCGTTATCAAGAACTGTCAGAAATCAGAGGGACAATGGAAGGGGAGGAATCTTCTTGTTGTGGACACCCCAGGGCTCTTTGATAACGAGGAAAAACTGCAGACCACCTGTGAGGAAATCAGCAGGTGTGTCCTCTTCTCCTGCCCTGGGCCCCATGCTATCATCCTGGTACTACAGCTGGGCCGCTACACGGATGAGGAACAGAAAACAGTTGCATTGATCAAGGCCATCTTTGGGGTGGCGGCCATGAAGCACATGATCATGTTGTTCACTCGCAAAGATGATTTGGATGGTAAGACACTGAGTGACTTTTTAGACGAATCAGATGTGAACCTAAAAAACATCATCCAGGAGTGTGGGTCCCGCTGCTGTGCCTTCAATAACAAGCAAAGTGCAGATGAGGCTGAGAAGGACGCTCAAATGCAGGAGCTGGTGGAGATGATAGAGAAAATGGTGCAGGAGAACAGAGGGGCTCACTTTTCTGATGACATATACAAGGACACAGATGAAAAGCTGAAACGGCAGGCAGAAGTCTTGAAGAAAATCTATGCTGAGCAATTGGAGATGGAAATTAACAGAAGAGCAATGTGATCAGGGAAAAATATCACAGGAAGAAAAAGAGAAAAAAATAAATGTCTGAAAGATGAAGCATGAGGAACAAATTAAAGATATAAGGGAACAAGCTGAAAGGAATATATTTGCAGATATTGTACAAAGGATTAGAAATATGCTTTCAAGTCTATGGCATAGGTTTTTCAAATAGTGTATATTTTACTTTCTCTTCTTAATTTACCATGATTTGTTACTATGGTAGATTGTATTTTCAAAAGATGGTTATAACAGTTTCTTCTATCCCACCTATTCTTCTTATAATCTGAGCTTGCTTTTCCTTTTGTTGAGTTATAGGGGTCTGTGCCTCTGCAATTCCATGGACTTTGTGACTGCTTTGGCAAATAATTGATGGCCGTGACTTCTAAAGTTAGATAGGGAGGATGCTTCCATGCTCTGTGGAGTATGTGCCCTTGGCCCTTGCCCACCATGTGATGAGGAAGCCCAAGTTGTCCACCGAATCCACATGCAGAGGACATGACATCATTGGCTCACTCCCCTGGCTGCTCTTTCATCTGCCAGCAGAAACTACTTGCCAGCCATGTAAGTGAGGCAACATGAATGCAAATTCTCCAGCTGACAATTGAGCCATCTCAGATGCAGCAAAGAGCAAAGATGGGCCACCCCCACTGCATTTCTGCCCAGGTTTCAGGAGAATAATAAATGATTGTTGTTGCTTTAAAACACTAGGCTTTGGGATGGTTTGTTATGCAGTTACAGCTAACCAGAAGCATCCTCCCAGCTCATTCTCCACCAATCCCCACAATGCCAACAAACTGAAGAAGTTAGAAAATTGACATAACAATGGAATAATATATTATGGAGAGTTCATAGGCTCAATTTAGGACAATTCAAATGAGAAATCCTTCATATATCAGTGTTAGCACCACTGGTGATGCACATTATTTTAGTCCATGTCTCTGAGCCCCTTGTTAGTGAAGCAGCAGGCTTCTCCAGCAAGATAGTTCTGTTGTCCACATGAGGCAGGATAGTAAGATGCTAGGTAATTTCCTGGGCAAGTGGGAAGGGGAAACTGAGACAAGAAAATTACACAAGGCCAATCTGTTTGGGTGTCTTGCAGCCAGCTTGTGAATCACAAGAACTTATCTTCCCCAACCAAGGGCACTTGAAAGCAAATGGATTATACTGTCCTCCCTAACCAGAGGATACATAGCTTATATTACCCTGGTCTGGGAAGCGGAGCACAAAGACCAAATTAAGGCCATCTGTGCCAGCTAAACCCAAGGGTAGATGAAGTCAGGGAACAAATAACAAAGCAAACAAACAAACAAAAAACCAACAAAACACTAAAGACAGAAAAACCTAAGATTGTTATGGGGCAACCTGTAAGAGACAACCACCAGAGCCAAAGGGTAGAATTTAGGAGCCTTTATTAGCTGGGCAGCGATTGCAGTTACAGCACCCCGCTGTAGCGAGGACTGAACTGTAGTCCAGACCAGATGTAGAAGTTAGCTTTTATTCACAAAAACCGCAAAACGGTTGGCTAAACACACACAAAGTTCATCACTCCATTTCTCAACAGAGGTCACAGACTCATACCTTTGAAAGGCCACAGGTTCATACCTTTGAAAGGCCACAGGTTCATACCTTTGAAAGGCCACAGGTTCATGCCTTTGGAAGGTTACAGGCTCATACCTTAGAAAGGTTAAGCTCTTCACCCCTGCTAAATCGTGACCTGCTTGTAAAGAATGTTAAGAGGGAGCTGTGGTCTTTGCAACAGAGCCTGAGACTGCTATGACCTAATTTAACTGTATCCTTCTACTTAATTTAACTGTAACCTTCTATTGTTCCTAAGCCCTGGGGTGTTTATTACATTCCCTACTGGTCTTTACGGGAATCAAATCCTTGATTCAGTGTCCTCCTCTAAGATTCTGGAGTATTGGGTGTGTACTCGACTTTGTATGAAATCGAGGAAGCATTTGGCAATGCAGGGGCCAAAAAGAAGACTTAGCAACAGGAGAATTATCAGGCCTGCTAGGGACGACAGGAGGGTGGTCAGTCAAGGGGACCAGGAGAAAAGGTTTTCATATCAGTTGCCCTCCGCCCGCCTGGCCTCCTCCTGATCTGCTAGTCTTTTCCAGAGCTGACTGAGACTTTCTCTAATGATCCCTGAGTGGTCGGTATAAAAAAACAGCAGGTTTCTCCTAAGGTGAGACATAATCCACCTTGCTTTAAGAATAGAAGGTCCAGCCCTCTTCTGTTCTGAAGGACCACTGAGTTGACAGAAACACATTATCTAGAGCCCTCAGGTCTTGAGATAATTGTGCTGTCCTGGTTCCCAGGTACAGAGGAATTTGCTTTCTAAAACCAGTAAGATCACAATCAATGGAATGTTCACATTACAATCAATAAGGCATTCAATCGAATGGGATGATTTATATAATTCAGAAAGTCAAAATAACTTTTCTATTGTTAAGCCAAACAGCAGGGTTAGAGTT